AGTGATGACCGGTATAAACAATGCAGTTGGGTAGTTTCCTTATTGGATTTTTCATTACACCTTTTTGTCTTGCTACGCAATTAAAGTGGATCGTGTTGGATGGCTGCACTTCTCTATTGTTATTCCACTAGTGCAGCTTGTTACAGAAGAGCCTGGAGGCCAATTAAAAGCAAACAATACAAATACAATTCTGATATTTGAAGAGCCTATTCCATCCAACAGTGATATGTCAGATTTAGGAGGCTGCCTTGATCACAGATCAATCTCTCATCTCAACAAGACTCAATAGGGAAGATTTCTTCAACTCCATCCACAAGGCCATGTGCAAAAAGTGTACTTTTGTTACAACTGGACTTAAGGGATATGTAAATCCAAAATATTTTCTTAGTTTTGGATGGAGAATGGTTATTTCTACTGTCAGGTATTTTATTTTTTCTCTCTGTGTCTCAATGGTGAGACCTCACTTTCTGTCCAAGAGGAGACACAGAAGGAAGTAAGAGGGAGACCTTGTAAAAAAATGTTTGGATTTCCTAAAGTATGAGAATGCAGTTGAGAGTGAAGTGACTGGAACACTTGGCCCACAGGATAATACAAAGGTAACATTAGTCAATTTAATAGCATGGTGTAAAGTTAAGTTAGTTATGTTGGTGCTTGTAATACCTTAAAAAACACCTACACTTTAAAGATTATTTTAAAGCTTATGTGAATTCCTTATTTAAAAAGAAAACTATGAGATGTACAATATATATAAAATGCGCCAGCATGGCTTCCTGTAGGTGTGATTGCAAGATAAGAGGCCGGGGATGTGACCAGGGTAGCATGGATGTACTTACATAGTTAGCATCGTGACAAAACTACAGGAAGCCAAAGTAACTAACAGGATCTCTGGGTATTTAGACAAGTGTTTCTCAACCTTTTTCCAATCAGGGCGCCCTTGAAAACTATTTTCAGTCACGAGGTACCCCTGTGCAAGACTTGGATCACGTTACTGTGTGTCAGGAAATGCACACCAAATCGCACTCATTCCTGACACGCAGACAAATGCTCTGCTCTTTAGGGGTACCCCTATATATTGGCAAATGCGGGGTGTTTTTGGTGTGGTGCAATTTTAAAACTAAGGTCAGGGATGACTTTCCCTGTTTTTCTGCAGGTAAGGCAACCCATTGAAATGAATGGTCTGCCCTACACACAGCCACACAGTTGTGAACCAAGGACCTGTTCATCTATGAGGTTGGATGGCGGTAAAACCACACAATTGAGCTGCTTTTACCACCCCCAACTGCTCCCCCTTTAGCTGCAGAAACAGCAGCTGGGGGGTATACACATGCTGTTGCTGCAGATGGAAGTATACCTCTAGGTTGTTGTGGTGTAGTGATTGATGCTGCTTTTTACGGGGTTAAACTAGGTGGTGAGGAGGCAACATATTGCGGAGGGTCGAGATTAAATGTAAAATACATATACGCACACACAAAAACAAACACACACACACATATAAACACACGCACACAGATATGTGTACGTACACACACACGTACGTACACAGACGTACATACACACACATATGTACACATACGTACACACACACACATACACACGTACATATACACACACATATGTACACACACACACGTACACACATACATGTACACATACAAACACACACAGGCGCATGTATACAGCATCATGAAACGTTACAGTACCTTAGCTTTCTATCACACAGCTGGGTACTGCACTCTAGGGGGAAGCAGAGAGCACAGAAGACACTCCCCTTTCCTTTGCTTTCACCTTGCTGAGCAGGTGTGATGGGCTCCCAGTGCCGACGTACAGTGCGGCTGGGGATCGGGAGCTCGGGCTCAAGTGACAGCCATTTTTCCCACGGCACCCCTGAAGACCTCTGGCGGTATCCTGGTTGAGAAAGGATGATTTAGAGTGTCTTAAAGCAGACTTCCGGCCCCTGGCCCTCCCCCCAAATAAATAAGACATGAGCAGCTACAAATACTGTAGCTGCTGACTTTTAATATTAGGGCATCTACCTGCTCAGGCAGTCCTCTGGGACCTCTTGAGTTTTTCCAGAGGGCTGTGGGGGGTAAACTTCTGGGTCAAATTGTGTCGGTGAACTGAACCAAAAGTGGGATTGGGTATCCGCTCCCCCTCAAAAGGTGCCAAATGTGGCAGTGGAGGGGGGGGGAGGCAAATAATCAGAGCTTCAACTTTTATGGAATTTTTGTGGACTTTAAATGTATTCTGTAACGTAAAGGAAACACATTATGTGGAGTATGAGGAACAGAGGAATGTAGTTCCAAAGTTTAATAATTAGGGTTTACATACACTTTAAAGCCTAGCTCCATTTTTTCAGATTGAATAGAGTTGGAAAGGTTCAGAAACTCTGTAAGTTATTTTTTTTTTTAAGAATATTCCAAAGTGGTTGAGTATTCTGATCTAATGTGAAAGCAATTTTTGAGGCAGCTCCCATAAGCATGATAGACCCAGATTTTGGCCTCAAGGTAACATCTCAGGATTTGTTGACACATAGAATGTCAACATATGGTTGATAATCCAGGTAAACTTTATTTGTTGCAATAATTTTGTAAAAACTGCCAATGCATTTTGGAAGTTACAAGAGGCCCCTTTAATCAAGGTTATGGATTCTGGACTGAAAAGAAGGTCTGGTAAAAAAACAATTTTGAAAATCCTAGGGCTTTACATTCAGTAACAGCAAAAGTTCTCATCTGATTGCTAGTTGCCTTGCTGAAAGAGGGCACCTTGAAACCTCAAAATGTAATAGGCTGTTTTTACACATTCGGCCTCACGCACACAGAGCTTTAAAAATGTAGCTTTTTACAGGGATTTGGTGTTTTTTTTTTCAGCATGTAAAAGCACCTCTATGTTAGAAAATGTTTCCACACATATAGGTGTTTATATGTCTATTAGAAGAAGACCATTTACAAGCACGTTCCAGCAATAATGTAGTCCAATGGCCATAAAAAATTGATATTATGACCAATGGAATCCATTGATGCTCAAACGCTTGCCGCGTCTAAACTTTAAAAAATATTTTTGGGAATTGAGTTTTAATGGTTTGATTACAATCTAAGGAGAATCCATCAACTGCACTATCTTTGGAAGATTTACCTCATTTGGGCTATACTAGGAAGTCATTGAGTCAGGATTCTGCATTGCGGTAAAATATATTTCTGCATAATTCTGCAATAAAGTAAAAATTGAGATGTTTAAAAAAAATTTCTTCAGCAAAGTCCTAATATTAGAGACTTGTGCTCAGAAATGATCTACTTCTGTGTAGGTGTGTTCTAATTGTATGCTGTGACGCATTTATATTTGTGTTTTTTTTCCTGTGTGAGTAAGTCTGAATCTCTGCACTCTGTAATTTTTCAATATGGCCAGGAAAACTTGTAGGAGCTTACTGCAACCAATCAGTATACATCCATTCTGAGCTGTCTAAGCTGATGAAAAACAGTCTGAGGATTGTTATGTATAACTGTGCCTCATATGTCATCCCTGGTCTTTGTGCTGATTTTTACAGTGGCAAGAAAAAGTGTGTAAACCCTTTGGAATTAACTGGTTTTCTGTAGTAATTTTCCATAAAATGTGATCTGATTCTAATCTAAGTCCCAACAATAGACAAACACAATGTGCTTAAACTGATGACACGCTAACAATGGCTTGTGTCTTTACTGAACACACCCCCAATAAACATTCACAGTGCCGGAGGAAAAAGTAAGTGAACTCGTGGAGCTAATATCTTGTCGAACCTCTGTAGTAGCAATGACTTCAAGCAAGCACTTCCAAAAGCTCTGGATCAGACCTGCACAGTGTTCAGGAGGATTTTTTGACCATTCCTCTTTACAAAACTGCTTCAGCTTGGACACATTTATAGGATGTCTGATGTGAACAGCTCTATTGAGGTCATTCCACATCATCTCTATGGGGTTAAGGTCTGGGCTCTGACTGTGCAACTCCAGAAGGCACTTTTTCTTTTTATGAAGCCAGTCTGTGTGTGGATTTACTTTGGAATTTGGGTGATGTAGCAGGACAATGACCCCAACATCAGACAGTCACTCTGACATTATCCTGTAGGAAATTGTGGTAAACATGGGAATTCATTGTCCTTTTGATGATAGCATGTGATCCAGGCCCTAAGGCAGTGGATAAAGTATTTAAAAAGACCTTGCCACCAACACCAGCACTGACAAAAAATGTAGGTAAACAAAAAAATCAAGTATTTCAAATACTTACTATCTGTTTTTTTTTTACAAAGTTCCTTTGAACTTGCTGGGAAATTTGACTATTACAAGAAAAGTCAATTCCTTAGCACAGCCCACTCTCTCCCTGCATGGCATAGCCCTCTCCTCTTTTGGGATGTCTATATTACTGTCTGTGGTGTCTCAGCTGCTCCGCCCCTACCTTTGCCTCTCTACATAACTTTTTATGCAGCTGCTGGGTGAAGTGGGAAGGGAAATACTATAGAGGGCCACTTGTGTGAGAAATCTAAGTCTGTTGGGTCTGCTGACATCACATACAAGATGGAGGCAACCAGCAGTAGCCTCAGGGCTTTTGAATCTGCAGAAGGGAGGCTTTTACAGGTAAATAACATTCATAAAATATGTTAAATGCACATATAAGCTTATTGGAAATTTTTTGTTGAAATGAATGATCTGGTGACATGGTCTCTTTAACCTGGTCCAGTATACACCATGAACAGCTTACAATATAGGATTTCAGGAGTCAAGTTTGTAGAAATACTTTTACAGCCATTTACTGCTTGGTAAGAATAGTGTAAGAAGTTGATCCGGTTTTCAATTGGTGCTTCTGATTTTAAATGTCACTACAGGGAGGAAAATCTCTTTTAATGATCTGGGACATCATCAAGGATTCTGTTGAGATATGTAGATTACTGTATTGTTTGAAAGGTCTTTTTGTATCTTGCAAAAAAATAATTCTACAGGAACCCCCATACTAATATATTTATTATTTGCATACAGTCCAGGTTCATAGCGGGTGGGCCTACTGCTTTCAAAATAGCCCACACTGCACCTCCTAGCTACCTAAATTCAGATCTGAAAGGACCGCTAGCACCAGGGGTGAGACTCTCTTCACCTGACATTGTCATTGCATGATTATTGCGTGTTTGTATGTTTGTTCTGATTTTACAACTCCATCATCAGATTCTTTTGTTTAATGTGGCAAGGTTCAATGAATGTTTTTCATCATGTGTAATTTTGTGTTCTTGTGAAATTGTTTTAACTAAAAAAAAAATGTAAACATTATATTTACAACACTAGTTCAAAAGAAGATGACTAGAAGAAGGTTACAGGGACAAAGCGAGAATTCTCCTCTTTGGCACTCTACCTCAAGTGGCACTATATTTCCACCCTTGTTCTAATGGCCAACCACATCGCCCCTTCCAAAAACAAATTCCACTATTGGCTACTCACACCAATAAAGTTATCAGCAGGTCTTTCCTCCTCTCCTAGGCATGAGTTGCCCAGTAACGACCCAAAGAACAAAGACCTGGATAAACCAAATCACCAATTTCTCACAACAATACTGGAAGCACTGTTACTTAGGATAGCTACACACGGCCTTTTAAGTATTAGATTGTGAACAGTATGCTAAATAGCATCAAGTAAGCATTTGAAAGTAATTTAAAATCTGAAAAATAATAGATGTGTGTTCCATTTTAGACTTTGAAAGGTAATAGCATATGGATAATTTATGTTTTCATGTGCTTACTCTTTTCTCATTTTTACATTTTTTTGGAGACTCCTCACTGAAATAGAAGTCCTTGTTTACAGAGCTCAGTAGCTCAAGTTTAAATGTAAATACACAAGTAAATGAACTAGAGCAGTAACTCCACTTCAGCCAGAGGCAACATCTACAAAAAATGCCCCTTTTATATTAACCCTAAATTAATTTTTAAGTTGTAGTCTCATTACAAGGAAAAAGTGACCTCCAGTGGCAGCATCATAGTATACTCAGATGCAACCCTCTAGAAAAGCCTTTTCAACACAGAGGAACCCTTTAAATAAGTTTCCAGTCTCAGGGAATCCCTGCTAAAATTTACTATCTACAACTCTTGATACATTAGCGTGATGGTCAGTGGGAAGAATGCTCCTTACACTTGTGGTCATTGGGAAGAATTCTCCCCTTACAGATAGCTAAAAAAGATCAATGGTGCCAGTAGGAACCTATCTGAGAGGCAGAAAATGCTCATAGCTCAAGGAACCCCTAACAACCTCTGGACGACATTAGGGTTTCATGGAACCTTGGTTGAGAAACCCTGCTTTAGAATATCAAAACACACAGATTGTAGAAAGTGGAGATAAGAAGGTTGACTGCATGCCTTCTAACACTTGCTCGTCTGGGAGAGCAAAGGAAGCAACAGGAAGCTGTGTTCACTCCAATCATTCATTCACGTACAAGGAAAAAAATATAACCTAAAATGATTGGGTAATCCTAGTTTACACAGCTTTACTATGTGAAAATTCTCCCATTGACAGAAGTTGGCTACTCCTACACTGCCTTTCAGTCCTTTTTAGCACAACAGTATCCTCATGACTGGGAGTGAACAGCAAAATTGAGTTAGCCTTTTATTCCACTGAACATTTGCCTTCCCATTCACCCCAATCGATTTTATTAAAAAGGGAAAAATATGAATATTGGTAAAAATTACTTCACCTTTGGCAACATTTTGTTTACATTTAGGCTAAAATGCAGTAAAGCAGGAGAGTGGATTGAACTGATGTTGCCAGTTCTCCCTAGTCATGTGAATACCGTTGAGCTAGAGATGACTGGACTGGTGACTGGAGAGGTTCTCAGAAAACAGAATCTAGCCATTGCTAACCATAGGAAGGAGCTTGGTGAGATAAGGTTCCATCCCATGGGGTTTATGGCATTGACTTGAAAAAGTCATCCAAACTTTTAAGTATTTTAAGCATTTTAAATTAAAAAAACTTTTGTAAAGACCAGCCTGTACATAAAAATGTTAATACTTACTTGTCCTGCTGTTTGCACCACTGATCTTCATTTTGTTTTAGAGCTCTCTCTTCGAGTGATCAGCAGTTTATGCAGTAGGACAGGTAAATATTAGTAATTTTCTTTGCAGGCAGGGTTTTTCTTTTCATCTAGTCAATAAGTAACTTTAAGTAAAAAATAATGTACTGAATTTTTATAGGACCCAGCAGTTTTAGATCACCAAATTAAAAATTAATTTCTAAAATATTGCTTTTTTCTGTGCATAATAAAGCATATCTTTTTTTTTTTCACCATCCCAACAGCCAACAAATTACTCCAATCCAGTGTATGCAAAACTTTTTGTGGATGGGCACAACTGTCGGAATTCCTTAATCAGCGTAGAAGAAAGACGTGAACTTCTTCCAAAGAAAATAGAAAATGCTATCCGGGAGACTGTGGCTTAAGCTCCGATGTTCCGTTACCTTTTCTACTCTGTATAAATGTATAAAATATGATTACTTTTCTATGTACCAACAGTATTCTAATTGTTTTGTCATCAGCATTACCTCTTTTTTCATTTTCGGTTTGTTTTGCTGATGACTAGACTGACCATTTGTATGGTATTTTTATGAAAAATAAACTGCACTACAGTACAATTTAAAAGAAAAAAAATATGCTGCTGTAATAGGAGACCGTTTTATTTGCTAAATCGAAGGACACACTCTTCCTTTGTAGGGTAAGAAAATGAAATATTCATTTTATATGAACTTTTTTAGGTTCACTATTGTCTTTTCATTAAATAATCCAAAAAAAAAAACAAAAAAAGAAGACAGTCACTTTGTTAGCGATTGGTTTGAATTGCGATCTTTAGATTATTTTAATTATATATGCAGATATACAGTATGCTTGTATGTGGGTGATAATGATGATTACAACAATTAATACAGACACAATCGATGTGGCAGCCGTCAACAAAGGACTGAAGACTATATGTGAATGGACGTCAAACATGCCTTTTTTTATTTAATTAAAGGGTCGCTTAACAAAAATGATTAGCTGTTTTCTATAAAAGAGGTTTAAATAATGTTGATGGTTTGTTATTGTTTCAAATGTTTATCAGAACAGAAGATGGTGTGCTTAGTTTCCTTTAAATCAGGCATATCAATCTCAAGTGAAACAGTGGGTCATATTGAGAGGACTCAATTTCCAAAGGGCCTGCATTATCATCTACTGAGGGCTGCATCTATTTAATTATAAAAAAAGACAATGGCACCTATGAACTTAACATTGTAGTGAAAAAAATGCAAATGAAAATATGTATTTCCTTATGTAAGGAAGTGCAACTTGTAAACCGGAGAATAGCTAAGGGTATATTTAATGGTTTTAAATCTTAAACCACTGAGGGATGCAAGAAGGCCACATACAGTCCTTGTACTCCAATCAAACATGTCTGCTGTAATGTAATAGAAGAAACTACCAACTATCATTTTGTGCCCTATCTTGCCTCAAATGTCCATGAACGAGCAACAGATTTTTTTTTCCATCATATTGATTTTTTTCACGTTTACTGGTGATTTAAAGCAGAACTAAAGTTCTTTTTTTCGTTATGCAAATACTCTGAAATTGCAAGTTACATGTAGTGCATTTATGTATATTGCAACTCTGTTTCTTGTGGCTTTCTCAATATGTTGCCCAATTACTGTACAGGCATAGCTGTTTGCATTCTGGGCATTTATACAGATGAACAGAAACAACCTACTGCACTCTAGTGTGGTGGTTTCAGAGACTAATGGATCCTCACTGTTCACCTCCATTCTAGAGACACGTTACACCCCCATGATTTGCTGCCATCATAGGACTGCGGAAGCGCCAATAACAGATGTACAAGAAAACAAAGAGGGGGCACACTAGTCTAGTGCATTGTCTTTTATAAATCATTTGTTAATAAAAAATTGACAATTGCTATCCAGCAGCCGACTGCCCTATAGCTGCTTTACTGCTGCAGTGCGGTCACTATCTCTCTCTCTCCCTCTCTTCTCTCTCTATATATATATATCTACATACGCGTATATATACGTGATGCTGCACTTCTGGGTAGGGGGGTGCGTGCGCTGCCTTTGCCCTGCTTCTGACCAATCACAGCAGAAGCTGATCAACGGGTGCCGGCCCATGGATGACTGCCAACACCCACTGATCAGTGAGGAGACACACTGGACAGAGCTCTCTGGATGTGCTGGATTTTGTTTCCCTGCAAATAATACCCAGCACATCCCTTAAGTAAAAGCACCTGAAAGTAAACACAAAAACATTGCTTAGGTATACAGTTAACCCTTTGATCGCCCTAGATGTTTAACCCCATCCCAGCCAGTGTCATTATTACAGTGACAGTGCATATTTTTTAGCACTGATTATTATTATTATAATACAGGTTTTATAGAGTGCCAACAGTTTGTGCAGCACTCTAGATCACTCTATTAGTATCACTGGTTCCAACAAAGTGTCAGTTAGTTTCAGATTGTCTGCTGCAAAATCTCAGTCCTACTATAAGATAGTCACTATAAGATAGTCACCATTACTATTAAATAAATAAAGGTTCCAGTATACAGTATATACCATAATTTGTAGATGCTATAACTTTTGCACAAAGCAATCAATATACACTTACTGTGATTTGTTTTATCAAAAATATTTAGAAAATACATATTGGTCTAAATTTAGATTGAAATTTGATTTTTTTTTTGTACATTTTTTATTGGGTATGTTTTTTATTAGAAAGTAAAAAAATATTTTTTTTTTTTCAAAATGTTAGGTCTTTTTTTGTTTAAAGCCCAAAAAAAAAATCAAAAACCCAGTGGTGATTAAATACCACCAAAAGAAAGCTCTGTGTGTGGGCATAAATTTAAATTTATGCACAGCATTGTATGACCACACAATTGTTAGTTAAAGTAAAACAGTGCCGTACAGCAAAAAAACTACCTGGTCATGAAGGGGGGGGGGGGGGGGTAAACTTTCCAGAGGTCAAGTGGTTACATTTAATTTATGTACAGCGTTGCATGACCACACAATTGTTAGTTAAAGTAAAACAGTGCCGTATAGCAAAAAGTTACCTGGTCATGAAGGGGGGTAAACTTTCTGGAGGTCAAGTGGTTAAACCCAGAAACATAAATGTATGTAAAATCACCAACTAATTCCAAATCCAGAGACATGAGATCCAATGCACATACTCTCGTACACGGGAAAAAGACACTCAGGTCTGATATGGCTGGTGGGTTTCAAGTGGGGTCCTCTCTTCATCAGAGCCCCCTTACATACACTTATGTTTGTGAGTATAACATCTCATTTTTATTTTAATACTTTTTGATTTTATTCACAATTTGTTTTCTGGGCATTCATTCCTGGGTGAATACCACCCTAAAAGCTAGTGGCAGCCATCCACAGCAGCTGTCAGCCCATAATAGAGATTGATGGTGCTCCTGTGCCTTCTGCCCCTACATAAGCTCCGGAACCTTGTGCACCTCTAAATATCCAAAGTGCATGAGGCAAAGCATATCACTGCACAGAACGATGTGGCTCCTTCCGTTTTTACCTGTGGTCTCCCTTCTCATTCGATTCACAACAGCATTTTGTAAAAAACAACTAACAAGTGACTGATGTAAGAGCAGGAGAGAAGGCGGATTACAGTGGAGACAGAACCATCCCGTTATACTCTACAAAGTAAAAAAGTCATCCCTACAGAGAACTTCCTTTTAAGAAAAAAAAATACATCACTTCTGTTAGACAGTAGTATGCTTTCATAACCTCCCACTATTGCTGAGGAGACGTAATTGAACATACTCAGCAAGATGGCATATTTATAACATAAGGCTGAAGCAAAAGATAACATCGATTTGCTATTATGCATGCATGCACAATTTAACTTTCAGAGTCTGCATAAAAAAAAAGATACTTTAGTAACTTTATGCTTTAGAAGATTATTCCACCAAATTCTCGAAGGCTTTTGAACAGAATCTATGCATGCTAATCAACATTCGCCACTATCATTTATCTTTAGAGTTTTAGCTCCAAGATCCAACACAAAGGCAAAAAGACTGTTCACTTTGCAAGGTAATTTTTTTTTTTGCTTAGTGAATGTAGTAAAAATATACCCAACCATTGAAAATTAAAAAAACAATCGGTAATGTAGCTTGACGATAGAATTCAGCAGAGCTTCATCTCCTTTCCTAAGCTAAAGGAATTTTCCTTGAAAAGTGAAAGTCCTCTTACCAAGTGAGCAGCCTATTTGCCTTTAGTAAATCAACCTCACTAGTTCCTTTCATGGTCATATCTAGGCAGATTAATGTCTATAGGGGCTGATGGTTGCAGGCCAACCCACCCTGGAGGAATCGCCAATTGTTAGAAAATACGTCCCAATCACGTTTGACAAACATTTGGACACAATTCTTATCCTGACTCAGATTCAATGTAAATACTTACATTACAGCACCGGTAATGAAAGTACAATTTATTTTTATACTTTCAAGAGTAACTATGACTTCAATCTTGCAGTCCCTACAGATCTGACATGTGTCTATGGTTAACCTCTAATACTTACAGTTTTGAACCACATTTATATAAATATCTAATTTTATTTCCACCTCTTTGTGCTAAATTGCACTTTTGAATTAGTTTCAGGCCTTTTTTTTTTAGTTATTTATACAAAGCTCCAAAATAAAAACCTATAAAAAAAAGTTGTGTAAGAAATGGCTTACTGTCCCTCAATGGATTACACTTAGTCTCAAATTCTGAAAAAATGTTCACAAAAACAGTTCCTTTAAGCTATTACAAGTAGGCCAGAATGTATTACAGAGCGGTGTCTATGGTAAAAACGGTTCTATGCCTTATGAATGTCTCAATAGGTATCTGAAAACATAGATCTGGATCATATTGTATTTTACTTTGCTAATTAAATATTTTTAAAAAATCTGTCAGAGCTATATCTAAAGGTTATATTTACATTCATAAAAATGTGCATTTTGACGTAATAGAATTATTTTAAGAATGTAGCTAAAAGAAAAGAGAAAAACTCAGGAAAAAATGTATTTAAACAGTTCTAGATGAATGAGGGGTTTTTGACTCAACTCACGTAGGAAAGTGAACCTGCATTCAATTTGAACATCCAATCATTGGCAGAGGAATATCAAAAAGTTGGAATTTTCTTTGCACAGCATTGGATAATTGAAGTGCATGTAAATTTAATGAGCTATGTGAAAAATATAATCATTTAGTCTTCAATAATGTTAGAGAGGAATATGGACCCTTAGGATACCACTACCCTTGAATTAGTATGCAATAGGAACTGCTGACTGCATCTTTCTCAAACTAAAGTTTTTTAGTCCAGAATTCCTTCAACATGCAATAGTGACACAAACTTTCTGGTAACTATAAAGGAACAACAACAAATGTTTAAAGCTGAACTCCAGGCAGG